GAGGGGGCTGCCCGAGGCGGGGCCGGAGCCGGCGGCCTGGCGTGGGGGTCAGAGCCTCCCGCTGGCTCGGTGGCCCCAGGCCCCCTCCTGCCTTCACGTCCCCGTCCCGCTGCTCACCCAGGAGCCTGCATATCCTTACAACGGCAAGTGGACTACCTCGAGTCCCAGCTGCAGAAGATCATCACGGAGAATGAGCTGCTGCAGAAGGAGCTCCGGGAGCGGAAGCAGCAGCTGCAGGCCATGACCGACAAGGTGGCCGCGCCCGCATCCCACCGCCCCGCTCGGCCTCACCGGGCTCTCCAGCAGCTCCCGGGCAGATACGGAACTTAGGGAGCACACGTGCCTCTCCCAGGGTCCAACTGCTGATAGAGGCCGAGTGGGCCGCACACTGGGCCCCCAACGCCCCGTGTTGCCCTCTGGCCCCAGCAGTCACCCTGTTTCCCGGGCCTCTTGGCTCCTGGCCGCTTCTCAAGCACCCGCTGGCCCCTGAGTCCCGGGGGTGAGGGTCCCACCCATACTTAGAGAGGTGGCTGCTACTCTACTGAGCTCACTCCTTGTTAAGGGTGTTTAGTTTTTATTTTTATAGGAGATTTTTGACCATGTAGCTTAAAGAACCAGGTTCCACAGTCTTGTGATGCAAAACAGGAATGTCCTACCCCCCCTCCTGTCTGTCACTTCCTCTCACCTCGCTAGGTATCTCTCCGTGTCTCGGAGAGCATGCTTAGTGCCCAGTCTCCAGTTTTCTCTGGAGCACATCCTGCAGTCATTTTTTGAGAAAAGATGAGTGGGGGTAAGTTTTGGGAGGGGATGCTGTAGGTCTCAAATGTCTTTATTTGATGCATTAGCAGTCTGGCTGGATACAGAATTCCAGTTTGGAAAGTGTTCCCTTGGCGGGGAGACAGTGCTGCCCCGTGTCGCAGAGTCCAGGGTTTTCGTCCCAGGTGTTCGGAAACGTCACAGAGTTGTGCCTTATCGAGGGTCGACTTTCATGGTCCCGGCCACTCAGTGGCCAACTGGAAACTTGTGTCCATCTGCTGTTTGTTCTGGACATTTTCTCTGTCTGCGTTGTTTCGTTGTGTGTGTTTTTATCTCTTCTCTGGCCTCTCGGCCGACACTCCACAGACCTCCTGCCCTGGCCTTTCCTTCCTGTCTCTTCCTCCCACTCCTCAGGCCGCCATCTTTTTGCTCTGCTTTCAGGAGATCCCCTTGACTTCCTCCTGAGTCTGGATTTGCAAGAAAGTTTACAATGCCCAAGGTCTCTCTTGTTCTCTGAATGTCCCTTCTTTTGTTTTTAACCTGCACCTGGGGATATTTTTTCCATTGCTTTTCAGAGAGAGTGGAAGGGAGGGAGAGAGAGAGAAACATTGATGGGAGAGAGACGTGGATGGGTTGCCTCCCGCACATGCCAGAGATCGAACCTGCAACCCAGGTACGTGCCCGTGGCCAGAATCAAACCTGAGACCCTCCGGTGCACAGGCTGATGCTCCAACCATTGAGCCAAACCTGCCGGGGCTGAATGTCCCTTCTTTTTCGAAGAGCACTTTCTGTTCCTCTGTTCCAGCAGCTCCTTTCCCCAATGAGTGTGTCCAGGATCACCCTGGGTTCTAACTTCTTGCACCGTTTCTGTTGTGAGTTTGTTTTGGTCTCTGTCATTCATGCGAGAACTTGGCCCCAGGGTCAGAGCCCCTGGTGACAGTTCCGTGCTTCATGGCCCAGGGCTGAGTGTGTGCATTTCAACTGAGAGCTCAGAGGTAGAATTTGGGGGTCTTTCCTCTTGGTTGGATCTGATTCCCCCGGAATCGAGAAAATTGGGTGAATTTCTCACCTGGGATGTGAAGGCCTCGCTGCAGGTGCTCTGGGAGCCCCTTGGGGAAGGAGGGTGCGGCCTCCACCTTCAGCACCCACATCTCCCCTCGGGAGCCCGGGGTCTCTATCCCCAACCAAGCCTGGCACCTCCCAGGCCAGACACCCTCGCTGGACCCCTGGCATCGGGCTCTGCAGCATGGGGAAGGGGCGGACACCTGGCAGCTCAAGTTTGGGGATGTTTCTGAAACTCTGCCCTCTGAGCTCCTCCTCTGAGCCCCCGAGGCGGGAGGGATGGGTCCCCCCACTTCTGTCAGGGACGCTGCCGTGTGACCGGCTGGTTCTCAGCGTGACCGGCTGCGCTCAGGGCTCCGTGCCCTGGGACCCGTTCCCCAGCGCCCATGTTTTCGTTTTCTCCCCTCCCATCCTCATCAGAAAGACCCGGATTTCACCTTCCCGAGGTTCAGGGCGGGAGGCGTCAGACGCGGTGCCCTGGCCACGACCTCCGCCCAGCGTCCCCTGAGCCGCCTGCTCTCCTTTCAGTTCTCCAGCATCCGCGAGGAGAAAAAGCAGAAGGAGGTGATCGGGCTCGTGGAAAAAGACAACTTCCTCCTCCGACAGGTGACCTGGGGCTTACAGGTGACCTGAGGGAGGTTACAGGTGACCTGAGGGGGGTTACAGGTGACCTCGGGTGGTTACAGGTGACCTCGGGTGGTTAACTGGAAGCTGGCAACCCCTCCCGGGAGCCGGGGCCCACTCCTTTTCGGCAGCACCCCATTCGACACACTCAGCAGCTCAAGGGCACACAGGGGCCCCGCTCCGTCGCTGGGCTCCGATTGGACTTGAGGAGCTCAGAGGAAGTTGGCCATCTTTCGGGGGAGGGGGTGGGGACACCTGGGCTGATCCCCCTGTCCCCCGGCCCCGCCCCCAGCAAGTGTGGGAGCTGGAGCAGGAGCTCAGCAAGCGGGAACAGACCATCTCCGAGTCCGAGGCCAAGGTCAGCCAGCTGCAGGCCCAGGTGGACCAGAGCCAGAGCCACCTGCAGAGGCAGAGACGCCTGCAGGAGGAGGCGCACGGCAAGATCGAGGCGGCGCAGCAGGCGGAGCAGCAGGCGCACGTGGCCCTGGAGAGCGCCCAGGCCCGGGTACCCCGCTCCCGCCCCCGGGGCCCCTGCCCACCTGGAGTCCCACGGGGGGACGGCCAAGAGTGTTGTGCAATGCCCAGCGCGAGGGCTGACGGAGCTGGCAGGGTGTGCGGGGGCCGGGGGGCCTCTGGGGTCAGAGGAGGGAGCTCCACCGGGGAAGGAGGGCGCCGGGGGGCCGTCCGAGCTCCATGATCCTTTCATATCCACGTGCAGGTTTTACTTTTTAAAAAAATATATGTTTTTATTGATTTCAGAGAGGAAGGGAGAGGAAGAGAAACATCAGTGATGAGAGAGAGTCATTGATCGGCTGCCTCCTGCAGGCCCCCGACTGGGGACATGTGCCCTGACTGGAATCGAACCCCGATCTCCAGGTTCATGGGTTGACGCTCAACTCCTGAGCCACACCAGCTGGGCTGGTTTTACTTTTTCAAGTAACAAAGTTGGTGAGGCCCTGGCTGGTGTGGCTCAGTGGTTAGAGCGTCGGCCTGCACACCGAAGGGCCTTGCGTTCAAGTCCGGTCCAGGGCATGTACCTGGGTTGCAGGCTCGATCCCCGGCCTGGGTCGGGGCGCGTGTGGGAGGCAGCCAATCCTTGTGTCTCTCTCACATCGATGTCTCTGTCTCTCCCCCTCCCTTCCACGTTCTCTAAAAAATCAGTGGGGAAAAATATCCTCAAGTGAGGATTAGCAATAGCAACAACCACCACCTGCGAGTTGCTGAGGTAGAAAGTGCTTGGAGTTAGGCCACCGGGCTCTGGGTTTGGACCTGGCACCGTCTAGCTCGCGGCAGACGCTGACCCCGCCACCCTCGGGTCCTGGTTCCTGCAGTGAGGATGGCCCCACCTCTGAAACCCTGGACCAGGACTCCACCTGGACAGGACAGGTGCCGCCTTCCTCCCGCAAAGGCCAGTGACGGTAATTACGCTTCTCTCGCAGCTCGAAAGGCTAAGAAACAAGATCATCCAGGCGACCTTCAGCACCATAGGGATCAAGTCCTTGGCCAACGAGATCTCCGACAGTGACATTCTGGAGGCCTTGCAGGTATAACCTGCGCTAGCTGCCTCCTGTCTCCTGGCCACCCGCACCTGCAGCCTGGGCAGAGGGAGAGGCCTGGACGGGATGCTGGTGGCCCTGCTAGTCCTGGCAGAGTCTCTGTGCTGTGACAGGGACTGTCCTTCCTCTCTGCTCAGGCAGAGGGGCCCCGGTCTCCCGAAGGGGCGTTGACCTCCTGGAGCTGGCGGCCAGGCTGCTCTCAGCTTTGGGTGATGGGTGGCTGGGGCAACAAACCCTGCGGGGGCATTGGGGAGGAGCCATGCACTAGGGTCCTGGAGAGAGTCTTGAATCAGGAGGCTGTCCCCAGCTCTGCCCAGATCAGCCTCCTCGGGGTGCTTCTTAACCCCTCAGTGGAATCGCCGTCTGCTGAGCCAAGACCCTGGCAAGGACCCCCTTCCATGGCTTCGGCCCCTGCCAGTCCCTCGCCTACCCCAGGCAGAGGACTCTGAGGGGCGGGGCTGGCCAGAGGTGGAGTCACCACCCTCCTGGCCTTTGGTTGAGAAGCTGTGGGCCGGCCACTTGACATTGCTGGGCCGCGGGGCTCCCTGGACATGGGAGACTGTGCCTGCCTTCAGGGTGGCGTGGGCCAGAGCTCTGGGACAAGGTGCCTCGCTGACTCTGGGTGGCCTGCGCACCTGTCACTAGGGCTGCCGTTGCCCCAGGCCTCCTCCGCAGGCTGACTGGGCACCCAAGGCCTCCTAGCACCCACTTTCCCTGGGACCTGGTTCCTCTCCTCTGTGAGCTGGGCGGGCCCCAGGTCAATGGTGCTCCTGTGAGGTGGCAATAGTCCTCAGGGGAGAGGTGACCCTGCATGGGGGCCTGGGGAGAGGCTTCTGTGGCCTGGCTACTGTTTGGGCTAAGGGAAGAGGGAGGG